AGCTGCACGCTACCTGACCGTTGAATGCATCCGAGTGCGCATGCTCGTGTACATGTGAGTGACAGCATTTATTTACACTTGAACTCTAATTTCGATTACAATTTTTGTATTATTTCACTTTATATATACTTACAGCCAAGAAATAATCAAAAATAAATAATTTAATATATTAATAAATAAAAAAAATTAATTCAACAAATTTTTTTTGTAATTTTAAAGCTAAATTATAAAATTTCAAAAAATCTATATTCTTTATTTAAAACTAGCCGACGCGGCGAACCCCGTCCCGCCCATAATTAGATTTTTAATTTAATCTTTTTGGTCCAACATTTTCTCCAACAGTCCACGATTTCCATTGGCAAATTCATCTGCTAAAATTATGGTTTGGTGGTCGTTTGCCGCCTTAAATAACCGAACGAAAGTGTTATGTCCATGAGAAGGTCCCCGGCGGCAACAATGATCCGGATCTATACACTGAGAAAAAAAACGCGTTGTAATAATAAAAAAATGTTATTTGATTACCGTTTAAAAATGCTCGTATTTAAATCACGTGAAAAGTGTTAACAAAATGGATTTTTCCATTGTACATACACTACGTATAATGGAAATATTCAATTCAAATACGCTCGTATTAAAATTAAGCATTTTTCACTGCACGGCTGGCGTTTTGCACGCTTCGGATGCTTTTTCATATGTTATTAAGAAAGTATATGTATTCAAAGCATGCACAGCGGTGACAACACATACACACGTACAAACATACATGGTATGACATAATGCACTAATCGCGCGCTGTGATGTAGATTCAAACTCAACATTTGAAAACACATTTACATGTATGGCTGTAGCTGAGTGCGCAAAGACGTTTGATACAATTGGTTGCTGCCAAGGGGGCTCGGGTTCAATTACCATCAGACATATCATAAAATAAAAATTGTTTTTTTTTTCTTAAGTATAATTTCGTATAACGAAAAAGCATCTGTGCACTTCACAACGACATATTTTATAACGCACATACTAAAATTTAAAACGAGTTGGGTTGGTGCTCTTTCATATGCGTATTTTTTTAAATTTAGCACGTTTTTTTTTAATTCTAACATTTTTTTCCCTCAGTGTAGTGAATTTGCCCTAGAAACTTTATCTTATAGTTGGTGGCAATTTCAAAATGGATGCGTATCCTTGTTCAACAGAAATACAATATACATACATATACTGAGATGAAATGCGAAAGCAATTTAAGTGAAAATTTATTTTTTTTCTTTCAGGTTCTATATTAAATTCAATTAAAAAAATAAATCTTCATTAAATTGCTTTTATTAAACGGACCTTTAAGGTATTTCGACAGGTAGTGGTTTGAGATTTACGACTGCACAAATCAACCCTGGTATGTCCGAATGAAGCTTTAACGCATAATAATATTGGCAAATCACATCCATTAGGCCAATCGTAATACACGTAGGGATGCAATTTTTGGGGAGTAACATCGATGTTTCGATGCATCGGAAAAATGAACATCGATACTAAAATACATCTCCAGAAAAACATCGATATATCGATGGTTTCCGATGTTTCGAAATTTGTTAGGAAAATTAATACTTTTCAATTCCAACTCTCTGTAATTCAATTATTGTTTTTATTTATTTACCATTCCTTCCCAATAAATAGAATAGAAATGCATGCCGTCGTAAGTTCGCTGGGCCTAAAGTTCCAAGGCCCAATTTCGTTGAAATTTCAACGGGATCCCGGTCCTTTTTTAATTACTAAGTATGCATTTTTAATATCGAAAGATAATAGTAAACTCAGAATTTCTGAATGTTCCTTTTAAAAGAATAAATATTAAAATTCATGGCCAGTCAAAAAATTTTAGGAGCATAATTCGAGGTTAAAACATCGCTGAAACTGGCATCGATATATCGTCTATTTATCGATTTTAGGAAATTGTAAACATCGATGGCAAACACCGAATTTCGAACCGATATTATCGATGTTTCAAAAATAACGATGCTTCGTTTGCATCCCTAAATACACGAGAGTTCGATATATTCAATGGTGCAACAGGTCGATTTAGTCTGACATTCTCACTTGTCGATTTTTAGTAATAACTCGAGCTCAGCATCACCTCACATCTCTTTTTTTGCAATTAGACTTCCTTTACCGTTTCCAATACATGTTTTGAATATTCGTCAAATCGGATCATAAAAAAAAGATTTTTAGTAATAACTCAACTCCAGCGCCAACTGGCGGGTTAAATTGTGAAACTAAACTATCCAGAGACTCACTCAAACACACACACACAACTTTTTTAGGATTTCACTCACAAATATACCTACAGAAGAATTATATACACATTCAAAGATAAGGAAAAGTCATTTTGCCATGCCCTCTTTTCAAAGAGCCTACTTTTCTCCATGAGTATGGGATTGATTTCATATATCTCCATACGAAGTTCCAGTACTTTACCATGAACACTTGCAGAGATATGCAGTATGAAATCCGGCTTGTATGGTAGGTACCACGCCCCCTTTTCCAATAGCTCCATATTTTCTCAATGACTATGCGATTAATTTCATATATCTCCATACCAAGTTCCAGTACTCTACCAAGAACAATTCTAGAGATATGCAATAAGAAAAATTCGACTTTTATGGGAGGTGCCACGCTGGTATAAAGTTCCAGTACTCTACCATAAACACTTCCAGAGATACTTATTATGAAAAATTCGGTTTATATGGGAGGTGCCACGCTCCATTTTCAAATAGTCCGAAATTTTATTCGTGAGTATGCGATAGATTTCTACTCTACCATGAACATTTCCAGAGATATACAGTATGAAAAATTCGGTTTGTATATGAGGTGCCACGCCCCTTTTCCAATAATTCCAGTTTTTCTCCATGAGTATGTGATTGATTTCATATATTTCCGTACCAAGTGCAAAAATTTCTCCAATTTTTCTCAAGAGTCTGCGATTGATTTTATATACATAGTATCCCCATACACTTCGGTGTTCGGTGAAAATTCGGTTTATATGGGAGGTGCCACGCTCCGTTTTCAAATAGTCCGAATTTTTCCTCATGAGTATGCGATTGATTTCATATATCTCCGCACCCAGTTCCAGTGCTGTACCATGAACACTTCCAGAGAAATGCAGTATGAAAAATTCGTATTGTATGGGAGGGCCCACGCGCTTTTACAATAGCTCAAATTTTTCTCAAGAGTATGCGATTGATTTCATATACATAGTACCTCCATACCAAGTTCCAGTACTCTACCATGAACATTTCCAGAGATATACAGTGTGAGGTGCCACGCTCCTTTTCCAATAGCTCCAATTTCTCTCCATGAATATGTGACTGATTTCATATATTTTCGTACCAAGTTCAAAAATTTTACCATGAACGCTTCCACTACTTACTTTAGTTAGGATTAGAAATGGGTTAGCCAAGGATTAGAGACATGAGCCTCTTAAAAGTAATAAGGGATTTAATTTTTTTTAATTTTGAGTTGCGTCGTTATTGCAGAGGACCATCGGCATGTGAATTCATATATTTCGATAATGAAATAAATTCGAGCATAAATACGATTTTTAGTAGATATACATATTATTTTTCCTGTTATCAATACATATTTTGAATCTGAGAATAATCGGAACATAAACCCGATTTCTAGTAATAACTCGACTCCAGCGCCACCTGAAGGCTCTTTTTTTGCAATGGTATTGCTTTTCCTATTGTCAATACACATCTCAAATATGAGGCGAATCGGACCATAAATACGGGTTTTACTAATAACTCGACTCTGCGCCACCTAGCGGTTGTTTTAATAGTTATTCTGCTATCCGGAAGGTAGGAAAATTCAAGAAACATATATAATAAAAATCGGTCCAGCCGTTCTTGAGTTATAAATGGTGTAACTAACACGACTTTGTTATATATATATAGATTAAATTATTTATTTTTGATTATTTCATAGCTGTAAGTATATATAGTGAAGTAATACAAAAATTTTAATCGAAGTTAGAGTTATAGTAAATTAGAGTTCAAAATTACTCGCAAGTGTAAATAAATGCTGTCACTCACATGTACACGAACATGCGCATTCGGATGCATTCAACGGTCAGGTAGCGTTAGGTTAACAGATCGATGTAGTTACCAATATTGACTTACCTGTTCACATCTACTTGCCACGTAGCCATGCACAGAAATAAGTAGGCAAGCCTACCTAGGCATATTCTGTGTGTTAAAAACTATCAATTGAGATAAAACTCATTCGGTTATCACAAGAGTGAAGGTGATGAAGAAAAATTGATTAAAATTAATTAAATTAAAAACAGCTATGAACACTTTTCGATAGGCAAGTTATCATAGGCATATTTGTTTATAAATTATATTTGATAAAAAAAATGTCTAATCGAGTTATCAGATCGGTGAAGGTCGATCTCCCACCGGCTCTTAGACTATAACAAAAATCATGTGAGTAAAAATTTCAAACTTTGAAAAGTTTGAGCTTTTTAATTAGATTTCTTAGAAACATTCTGGGTATGTAGTTTTGTAGCCAATTCAATTTCAGTTAAGTAAAAATTTTAAGTAGCTAGGACTTGCCGTTGATGTTTGGCATTTTTTTAAGGAGTTTCTCATTTTCTCAATACAAAAAATAAAATAATTTACTTTGTGTAGAAGAAAATGCGCGAACAAAAAATTCGCAAAAATCAACGGTAAGTCCTAGCTGCTTCAAACTTACACTTTATTATATTAAAATTAACTACATAACTGCATACTCAAAAAATTCTTTAAAATCTGGTTAAAATTTTAAAATTTTGATTAATATTTATTAAAATTCGTAGATTTCATAAATTTATTTTGAAAGTAAGCTATATTTTCGTAAAAAAATAATAAATAATTTGTTTAATGAAGAAAAATAGTCAACACTTGTTAAAATGTATTTTCTTATTTATATTCTCTCCACCGTATATACATATGTATATGTTCATGTATTACACCTACCCAGTCACAGGAAACGGTGTGCAACTTCGGGCGCGACGAATCACTGGGGTTTGAATGTCACGAATCAAGGACTGCGCTCTGTGACGAATTCTGTTCGTCTCATCTTGAAAAGTCTGCAAATAAGCAAGTCAATATTTATTCGTAATTACATGCACAGAATTAATAAAACAAAATAAAATTCTTAAATATAGAAATATTAGCTTTAAAACGACGTTAAGATGAAGTCTCTACAGTGAGCAGAACCCTAGATATAACGATTTGAAGAAGATGTAAACCAAAAACTCATTTCCTTCACGTCTCTTATAAACTATCTATTTGATAAATATATTCCTCTAAAAGCAGTAAAAATGCAAAGTAAAAGACAGCCATGGTTCACAAACGAAGTTTTGTCGGCTATCAAAGCACGCAATAAGTCGTATAACTATTGGAAACGGCACCCCACAAATGAAATCTGGGAGTTTTATCGCTGCGCCAGAAATCGTGCCACACTTACAATGAGGAATTCCAAAAGACTGTTTTTTCAGACAAAACTTGATATTAATTTATCAGCTAAAAGTTTGTGGAAAAATCTTAAATCTGTGGGTATCGGATGTAAGATCGATTCGGGATACGATTTGGACCCTGATTCCATTAACGACTTCTTTGTACAGTCGAGCAACTGCAAAAATAATAGAAATTTCAAAATAGACAAAACTTTGCTACATACACCTGACAATGCTTTGCAGTTTAACGCAGTAACTGAGGATGATGTCATAAGAAAATCAAACGCTGTTGGAAAGGATGGTATAAGGAGGTAATATATGCCATTGCGGAAAATAACGGATATAGGAGAGGCCTGGTGGAGNTAACTGCTAAAAAGCCATCGGCTACTTTGCCAACAGATTTTCGTCCAATAAGCATATTGCCAGCTCTTCCTAAAATCTGGGAAAATTTAGTTGTTGTTCAAATTACTGAATACCTTAATAAAAATAAGCTACTAACCGAATGCCAGTCTGGTTACAGAGCCCGCCATAGTTGTGCAACAGCTTTGCTCAAGGTTGTTGAAGACATTCGCCCTGCCTATGACAGAGGCGATTTAACTGTTCTGATACTTTTAGATTTTTCAAAAGCTTTCGACACAGTAGATCATTCCATCCTTTTATTCAAATTAAGTAATTATTTTGGATTATCTGCTAGCGCTCTAAGATTGCTTGAAAATTACCTCAGTAATCGTTGGCAGAAAGTAGTTATTAAAAGCAACTGCTCTGAGATGAAGCGTCTTCATTCGGGGGTGCCTCAGGGATCTATACTTGGTCCAATTTTGTTCAGTATGTTTATTAACGATATAACTTATTGTTGTAAGACTGTTTCGATACATTTGTATGCAGACGATGCACAATTATATTTTTCTCGTCCGATTGGCCTATCTGAGGATTTGGTGTTTAGAGTAAACGAAGACCCCGAACGCATGTATTCGTGGGCGAAAGATAATAACTTAAATCTAAATGCCTCTAAGACAACTTGTAAAGAATTTACCATCTTTAACCATACAGGGCATTACTATCAAATACGACTCCGTTATTACTAGCTTAGGGTTTAAATTAAATTCATACCTTGGATGTAAAGCCAATATTAACTATATTCTAAGCAAAATCTACTTTATTTTAAGAAAATTATGGTACACAGCTGACTTCATTCCTTTAAATGTGAAACTGAAATTGGTGAGAACTCTCATAGTTCCATTGATATCGTTTGGTGGGCTCTTGTATGGAAATATGGATTGTGAATCACAGAAAAAGCTGCAACTTGCTCTGAANGATGTAAAGACCATATTAACTATATTCTAAGCAAAATCTACTTTATTTTAAGAAAATTATGGTACACAGCTGACTTCATTCCTTTAAATGTGAAACTGAAATTGGTGAGAACTCTCATAGTTCCATTGATATCGTTTGGTGGGCTCTTGTATGGAAATATGGATTGTGAATCACAGAGAAAGCTGCAACTTGCTCTGAAAAATTGTGCACGATATATCTTTTCGAAGCGAAAATTTGAGCACATATCGGAGTTTTCTTTTTTTACTAATTTCCTAAATTATCGCAACCTAGTTTTCCTAAATCAATTAATTTATAAAAGGCAACCAGAATACCTCTTTAGAAATTTATGTTTCGCGAAGTCAGACAGGACTTGCAACCTCATTGTTCCACGCTATAAATATCTCTCGTCATCTAGAACGTTCTTTGTCACTGCGATCAAACTATGGAACTCATTACCGAATGTCAATAAAAATGAACGCAATACAGCGCGCTTTAAATTGGCCTTAATGGAGGTTTTTGCAATAGACAACAAACTTCTCTAACTCTGTTTACTTTAACTAAATATTTATGCATGTATATGCTCTCCTACTTTATTTCTCACTAAATTAAATATAAGATATAAATGATAATAATAGTAGTAACTAATGTATTTACTTATAATGAAATATTAAATTATACAAAGATATATTTCCAAATGTCGATGTACTTTAAGAGACAATAGTCTTACTTGTGCAAAATAAACTAAATTGAATTGAATTGANACTTGTGCAAAATAAACTAAATTGAATATAATTGAGTGTGATTAGTCAGAATCAGGAAAAAATCCAAACTTTAACAGATCATATCCCCTGTAATGCGATCAAGCATACAATTTTTCAACCCTACATATGACTACAAATCACCTTATATGAATTCGCCTTAAAGCTAATCTACTACTATTAAGAATTTACGATATTATAATGCGACCCTGACATGTGTGACAGCTGCTAGGCTTAAGTCAAAAAGTGGAAAATAAATTGGCGGCATTCGCCCGCGTACCTTTACACGTAACAGTTGTCAGTTTTTATTTTAATAAAATTGGATTCGGCCGACTAGTGCCCAACACTTTGGCGAGTACATCACCGAAGGAGCCCCAGCACATATTTGTTCGTACCAAGCACCCTAGAAGCGGGTCACCTGCTCTAGCACATTTGTACGTACCAAGCAGAGTTGTCGCGAATATTCGCAATCGCTTTCGCAACCGCGGAACTTCCGCATAAATTTTAACATTCGCTTTCGCATTCGCAATAATCAATGCGGAGCTTTTGCGAATGCGAATATTGTGCAAGTGCCCCAAAAAATATATCAAAACACACTCAGCGCATGGAATGGAACAACAAAACGGATTTGATGGCTTATGGTACCGACAGCGGTGAGTAATTAATTGTGACTGCCTGAAACTAGGAAAAGCCAAGCTCAGCTAACTAATAAAAAAACTAATTACAAGCTGTTCATTACAGGTGAACCTTTCCAAGAGGTCACCCGGGAACTAAGCAAATCTGAGACCTTTCATCGTCCGTGATTCCAATAACTGAAATCATTATAAAAACGGGGTACCTTTTTAACAAAATAACAACATTTTAAACTAATTCTGCTGGCAGCCATGACTTTCAAAACAGAATTTTCTTCGAAATTTTAGTTCCTACAAAATACCAATTTATTAGCCATATCCATACAACACATTTTTCAAACCAGTCACAGAAGACGGGATTAAAAATGAATTACAAAAACTAAAATCGAAAAACGCTGATGTCGTAACTGGTTCTCCAAATTCTGAAACAACCAAAAGAATTGCTTCTCCCAATTGGAACACAACGGTGTTTAAACAGCGATACTGCAATGATGCTAGATTGTGAAGATGAAAGTCAGGAGGATACATCCGAAATTTGCAGCCTTGATGCAATTCTCGAATTATTGAACCGCAAAAAAAAATAAAGTCCTCTCAACTGGTGCAGCGTCAACCGAAAAGAATTTGCAATTTTGTAAAGTTTCAAGTTTTTCAAGTTTGTCGCCTCGAGCGAGTAGTTATTTAATGGCGCGGGTTTGATTTACGACCCGTTAGGAAACAGGCTGTAACCCGAAAAAGCAGCAAAATTGCTCTTTCTTAAATACAATGTTCCGATTTTTTAATTTAAGTACTAAATAAAAAAATATAAAAAATTACTAAATTTTCCATTTTTTATTTACCTAAATCACTTAATGTACTCACCAAAAAATATTTCTTAAAATACAGTGAAACCTCTCATAGACGGACGCTCCTATAAGCGGACACATTCTTGGGAACAAACAATTTTTGGTTTGTTTTCCATACAAAATGCTCTCCCATACACAGACTTTCCGATAAACGTACGCGGACACTCAAAAATGTCCAGCTATGAAAAAACTCTCCCATAAGGGGACGCGAAGCTCTAACAAGCGGTCAATTTTGTTTTGTTTTTCAGTCAAATGTTGACTCTTGCGCTTCTACATATGTTATGTACACAAGAACATACCCATATTCAAAAATATTTTCTTTTCTAGAAAAAGTGTTGCCTTTCGTTGCCAATGGGCAAGGAGATTTGTCGGTAGGAAAGAAAACGTAATAAATTTGAATTTATTTTTAATTCACCCTGTTTCTGTCTATTGAAGAATTAATATTATTTTAATTTAGAAACCCGCAATTTAAATTTTTTAAGTATGAATTTTTATTTTATTTTTTACGAAATTCCTTTAAGCGGACATCTCTCATAGGCGGACAAAAAAGGTGACCATCCGTGTCCGCATATTAGAGCTTTCACTGTATTTGACATCCGCATTCGCATTCGCATCCGCGGATGTTAGCGTTTAAACATCCGCACCCGCATTCGCATCTGCGGATGTCTAAAATTCCACATTCGCAACATCCCTAGTACCAAGCACCCCTCAAGCGGGGTCATTGCAACTCAGCGGGGCGCAGCACCACCAGCGGAGTGCTAGGGCTTCCCACCGGCAAGAAAAAAAAGGAACGCCCCGTTCTCTTAACGAAGTGGAATTAAACACCACTTCACAAGGCAACCGTGCCCAAGTTCGGCAAAATGGCGGCCCTCGTACAAAAGAAAAAAGGGCAAAAATAAAAAAATGATTTTATAAAAAAACAAAACACAATGTCACAAGCATAATTAAATAAATAAAAAAAAAACAAAAAAAAATATTAAATGAACTAAATTTAATTTGGCAAATTTTAATCGAAGATGTATCGGTCGTGGTAACAGATATATACGAAAATAAAAATTTTTTAAAGTAAACAAAAATTACAAAAAAA